ATATTATTATATAATAATATATATTATTATTTATATATTAATATATATAATAAAAATATATATAATAATAAATATAACACTATGTAATTAGTGGTATTTATACCCAATATTTTGTAATAATTTTTAATTGTCTTCAATTTTCATCCTTGAGTAATATGTTAGTAAAAAAAAAATAAAAAGTATTAAGAAACATAATAATGTAGTGATAATGGTCTAATTATTTGTCATAAGACAATTATGTTAATTAATTTTGTCCTCACGCCATGTATATAACACACAACGGGTGAGATACAATGTCACGCATTTTATGATTTTCTCAATATATAGGGTGTCCCCGTATAAGTGGTCATCCATTTTTATTTCATAAACTAACAGAGATAAACCTAATAAATATAATATCAAATTAAACACTCTTACTAAACTTTATTGTAAGCACAGTGATCACTTAGAAATATTATCTACGTTAAAGAGCGGAAAGACATGATAAATTTTTGCACAGTAAAGTGACAATTTTAATATGATAAAAGTTATAGCGTTTTTTTTAACTAATACAACGATGTATGATATAACAAAATTATCTTACGAATTACAAGAGTTACTTTTGGTTTAAAATTTTGTGGGCGATTATTATCTTTTCAATTTCGGTCCTGCAATGTGGCCAACTTCCGACTCTGACATTAACGAGAGTACTATGATCAGAAAACATTACACGTCAATCGTCAACGCGAAAGTCGGAAGTTAGCCACACCGCAGTGCGCAAGGCCGAAACTGAAAAGGTAATAGTCGCTCGTAAAACTTTAAATCAAAATAATTTGTATAATTTGTAAGATAATGTCATTATATTACACATCGTATTCGTTAAAAAAACGTTACATTTTTATCTATTAAAGTTGTCACTTTACATTGCAAAAATTACGCATGTTTCTCCGTTACTCTAACATAGATAATGTTTCTAAGTGATCACTGTGCTTACAAAAAATTTAGTCTGAGCCATTTAATTTGATATTATATTTATTAGGTCTATCTCTATTAGTTTACGAGATAAAAAGGGGTAGCCACTTATACAGGGACATCCTGTATATGAAATTAAGTTTTTATATTCGTAATAATCCTCAAAACATTTATTCTTTAACCTATTATATTTACAGTCAACTATGTGCAAAAATTTTGCATTTTCTTTTTATAACAAATTTATTAATATATTTATAATATTTTTAAAGTATAATGATTATATCGATTATACTGTCTATCACATAGATGTTTTTTATAGTTTAAACGTACCTAATTTAAAGATATAGATTATCCGAAAATTTTTGAATATACATATATGTAATATCGATAGTATGTCAAATGAAAAATTCTCTAAAAATATTTGCTACATTTTTTTTAAATCTATAGCAAGAATAAAAAATTAATAGACAAAAGTACATTAGATACATTAAATATTATAAGCTCTTTCACGTACGATTTTGCACACTAACGTATACTAGATTTAAAAAATTTTATTTTTATAATATTGGCCAGAAATAAATTAACATATAAACATATCAAGGTGGCTCTTTAAATCAAGTTACTATAGAAATGTCTATTTTTTTTTATAATAAAGTTGAAGTACCGAACTTAACGTGTGCAAAATTCTAGAGTAGGAACGATGAAATAAGAGAGAAAAAATCTTGAAAATATAAACTTCTAATGTAGAATATAACTTAGTGGTTAAGATCGGAGACGCTTCTTTGACTAACTACACACATTAAACGTTATTATAGACTTATCTAAAAAACGAGATTATAATTTAAAAAATTATTTGGTTAAAAATTATTTGATTTTAATGATCACAAAAAGTAATAAGTCAACAGCCATTCCGGAAAAATATGTATTTAATGTTGAAATGGCAAAATATCGCATAATCTCGTTTGCACATCTGCAATGTATGTCATATATTGTACATCATTTTCTTATCCTCGTTCATTATTGGAATAGCAATATCGTTTGTTTCTTGCTATTTCATTAGATATACACGTAGTTTTAATATTTTATTTAAATTATGCAAATATACATTTATGATTTTAGGTAGACACTCCAAATTTTCGGCACTTTACTAAAGAACCATCTCAAATTAGTGAATTAATTTATTAGACTTCAGAAAAAATAATAAAGTAATAAATCAAACTAGGCAACACAACAAATGATACGATAAACTAATTACTTCAAAATTTCAAAAATTTTTAATTTAAGGCATTCTCAAAATAAATAATTTTTACATAAATTTATAAGTCTTTATTTTATTTTTTTAAATAAATGCTAAATTAGACAAATATACCTATATTATGTAGGTATATGTATTATTTATATATGTATACGTTTATATATAATCGATTTATATACTTTGAATAACATAAGAAACTAAAACGTATAACAATTTTTAACTTTTCATATATTTTAAATATTTTAAAGCTCTGTACATGTCAAGTTTCCCATTTATAGTGTCGCATGCAAAACTTTTATTTTTAATAGTACAAACATTCTCTTTTTAACGTTCGTTAAGTCTCTTAATTTCCTCTTTAATGATTTTATGGTCTGTAGCTCATAACAGATTATAATTAAAAATATATATATTCTCATACACACATATGTAATATGTGCATACAAACATTATTAGAATATTGTTCGTGTGATATAATTTATTATTCAGTTTATATATATGTATATATATATATACATATATATATATAATTGAAATTATAATTAAAATATATTTAACACACATGCGCGCGCGGTATTTCATTTTATATTTCGCACACAATTTCAATATCTTATATGGAAAAAAACTAAAATTGACCTTTAAACACTAGGACAATTCAAAATCAACATATATTGTGTCTTCCTCGAAATTCTACTTTTATCTGAAATTTTTTCTCTAAAACTCCGCTTTCCAAATATCAAACTGTCAAATGGGACATATTATGTATGATCAAATACATACACAGTGCGGTCCATAAGTTCCCGGACTGATTTTTTTGCAGCCTGCCCGTTGACGCCATTTATCGGACGACTGTTGAACTACATAGTGTGAACCTTTTCGAACAGTCATGTTGAGTGGCATAATTTTAGCCGCAGTTGTTGAAGAGTGCGGACGTTTGATATAGCCTGGTGTTGTGTGTGTGCGTCACAGGCAGAGAAAGGATGGCCAACGCAGCTAAAATATAGCCGTGACAGCTAATGTGTGTTTTTAAAATAAGGATAACTAATATTGTTACTGCCAAAGCTAGATTTATTAGTTATAGTTGAAATAAATTTATAGTTGTTAAAATTTAGGCGCTACAGGAAAAAATATTTGCTGAAAAAATCAAATAATGTTTAGCTAATTTTATTGAGGAATATCCAGCAAAACTTTTACATTTTTCAGCAAAATCAGTCTTTTCTTATGTCACTTTCTTAGCTACACCTGTTAAAATACTTTTTACTTTT